GAGAATTTTCCCAAATATAAAATATAAATGATTGATTATAATATTATCATTTTTATTAAAGGTAACCAACACACTCAAGCAAATAATAGAAAAAGCAGACGAATATAAAATCCAGTAGAATATTCGAACTTAATCGAGTTTCCTTCAACTAAATATCCTTAAAAGCAGCAAAATATAAGGTTAAATATTTTATATTAAAAAACGCAATAATAGAGAATATTAAATAATTATCTATTATAAATTTTAACTCAATTTCGCTAACTATATTGGGTATATTGTCTCTAAAAACTATGCGCGAGTTCTAAGTATAATTCAATTTTCTTTTATAACGTAAACAGTAGTAAAAAAGTTTAGTTTTATATACCACTTAGTTGGATGGACTTTTTAACAACTGTGTCGCTGTGTATCTCTCTTCAGTTTAATTGTTTTCGAGCATGGTAAATTGTTTTTAGTGAACTAAACATTTACAGCATAGTATACAGAGAAAAAATACGAAAGGTCCAATAAAAAATTGACGATTATTTCTGCCCAAACATTGGAACTGATGTTAATAATGATGAACAACAGTGGCATGAGGATTTTTATTTGCTCAAACATACGAGTTATGTAAATTTACAATACCATTTTTGGTTAACCCTGCTTCATCGGTAAAAAGAATGAAGTTCATTGCTGATCTAGCAGCCAGTTTGTGAACTGGATTCTTCGAGGAAAATCTTCAGGAAGTAGTTGATGCACTTTTTGCAGATGATAAGGGTATAGTAACTTCAGCAATTGTCGTTTTTGACACATGAAGCTGCGCGGCTAATTTACAGTATCCAAAATATTTTCCTCCAATTGCACCGTACGTACTGTTCTTGTCATACCAGCATCAATGTTTGTTTTCCCAAAACTTCTTAAAAATTATTAAAGAAAGTCAATAATGTTATCTTATTAACTGGGAATCGTTCACCAGTCTCTCTTAGACAACCTTCTTGCAAGATGCAAGACCGTACATAAGATGCATATCTGCATACTCACTGAAATGTGTATCGCATTATCGAATTAAATTTAACAAGATATTCAAAATTCAATAAATTAATATCGGAGTACTAAAAAATCAATGTGTCAATAAGATTTAAAATGCACACGTCAATGATAAAACCGTCTCTTTTCTTTTGGACTCGATTTTCTTTAAATTCTTTTAAAACTTGTTTTGGAATTGCCAGATAATTATTACTTTCGTGGTTTTCGAGAAACAAGGTTAACTAACGTCGACAAATAAGCGCTACCGTTTTTGACAAAATAAGTCTCCAGTATGGCCCAATTTCATATATTCAGGTGTAAGAGAAAATTCACTGTACAAATTCACTGGCAAAAAAGCAAAAAGTTATGAAATTATAATCATTTATGAATTGGAATACCATGACACGCCACAATATTAATCTCTTAAGGGATCACGTTCTTAAGGATTAAAACAACCTTTTAAAACTAGTACAACTTTATTAAAACGCAATCATTTATATTTTTGGGTAATGATGGTATTTTTTGGATAATTTTAATTTGGTTTATGGCGTTAGTAACCTTATTTTTTATTGATACTGACAGTAAAAGTGACCAGGGGACTCACACAAGCACTATAAACAGGAAGAATATCCAGGCGCTGCACAATCTATGTCTACGCCAAGAGGTCGATGGCTATCAATAAGTATATTCTGTAGAGTCAGAGTCTTAGACCCTACTCTTCGAAATTTAAACCTAGGCTTTATCCTCAAATACAAAGTGATAAAATAAGCCTATAGCTTCAATACAAGTGGCTTTTTAACCATATCGTAATTCAAATATATAGATATATCCCAAACAGCATTTATAAAAAATAATTTCTAATAAATTTTTAATTACTTCCTGAAGGAAATTAAATCGATTCCACAATAATAGAAAAAATAATACTGATCTCAAGACAACTTAAGTTTACAACAAAATAACTTATAACACTGTATAGATGACCCATCTCCCTCTTACATTTTATCCAGGATTTATCTGTGTTACTTTTTCAAACAACTTAAATCGAGATAAATTTCCTATATAGAAAATCGCTCTGCAAAACAAACAAGTTAGCCATACTTGTTTTAACGAGCTGAATACCTAAGCAAACTTAATACCTGTCTACCAGAACCTTGTTGTACTTTTATTACATAATATGTGCAAGGATCAACGATTTTAATAAGATTTTAAAGTTTGCTTGGTTTAACTACTAAGAACATACTAACCATTTCAAAAGGAAAATATGTAGGTAATAATATTTAAATGTACCCCTTTGGAGACATTATTAAAATAAGGTACGTGAATTTAATTATAGCATGTTGTTCTAGGTGTATTAATGTCTAAATTCAGTTCAGATCTAGTGTTTGTGATATTAAATAGTACACCAGGGATAAACTTGTTATATCCTACATGTGGGGATGGAAGGATTTAATTTGTACCTTATTCCAAGGTACGATACTTATTATTTAATTTTGAAATAGCAAATTCAGTTGAAAACAAAGGAATTTACTTTTACAGATGAATAATACCATGGTATAGTTTGTCAACTAATTAAGATTATGATAAAAGGTATATTTAATTAATTAAAAATTAATACAATATATTCAATAACCGTCAAGAAGTGAATGCCCTCTATAGCGACTTTAAGAAGCTTTTGATTAGATCGATCCTAGGATTATTAGATATAGTGAAACCTAAGCAAACAAGTGGATCGGATAATATTCCGGCATTTCTGGTGAGAGATTGGGCACAGGTATTTTGCAAACCTCTTACTATTATTTTCAACCTTATTTTTAAAACTCAACAAAATCCTGAAATGTGGAAGTTAACTAGAGTTAGTCCAATCTTTAAAAATTTCAGCAAAAATGATATATCCAATAATACTATTCATCCAGATATTTCAGGAAAATTTAAGTTTGCACCTATTACTTCTGTAGATGTCGAAAGAAGTTTTTCTTTGTACAAGTACATACTTACTGATAGGAGACAATCATTTAATACAGATAATTTAGAAAAACATCTAATTGTTCATTCGTTTTATAATAATGTTGATTTGTAAATAAAATTAGTTAATAATTAAATAATTATTAAGTATTATATTAGGTATTGTAAAATAATACAAATATTAATAAACTATTTCGATCAAATAACAAAAAATACTCTTATTGCATATGCTCTGCATATTTTTCAATTTTTTACGCATATATTGAAGTATTTTGCGGCATATATATGCCCATATTTAACTACTTTTTGGGTGCATATATTCCTAGGTCTAGTTATAAGGAATATGAGATTATTCAATGACTTTTCAACAAATATCTTGCTGCAGCGAATAAGACATATTCTAAAAGACACAGGAGGGTATAATATCTGCTGTTGGCATGCCAATTTCATTTTACTCGTTTTGTTTACAAAATTATTGGCACATCTTAAAAAAACTAAAATAATTCAAAATTATTTTATTGCAACTGAACCTAAAAATTTTTAAATCATTAGTTATTTAAATTTTTTCTAATAAATGACATTATGTAAATTTAAATAACCTACTTCTAAACTAATCAGAAAAGATACAAAATATGGTAAAATCTGTATCTAATCTGAGTAAATTTCTTACGGGTTAAGAATAATAATTAATAATAATAACCAACAATTTTCATATATTTGTGAGATTTCCATGAATCGTTATGCTTTATTAGATACTGACTTTTATTTACGCAATCATCATTATCATTAGGCACCGCCTTTCTTATTTATTGAATAGCTTGAAACGATGTACGCTATTCAGTTAAAATTATTTAACAAAATTTAATTTAGACAAATTACTTAGTTTTATTTTATAATTATATATGTAAGACATTTATTAATAAAATTCCCGTAGATATAGATAGAAAATTATTAAAACATATTTTATTTCGTAGAAAATTTCAAGTAAGACTAAAGAAAGAAACTACTGATAAAAGTAACCTTGGCTATAATAGTCTAGAGAAGAAATGAAAGCAGTAATTTAGTTTGAAGATCGTAGTACAGGTTTAAGAGGTAAACATTTAATTTATACCTCATCTTTTAGTGCTTATTTGTACGCAAAATGAAAATTTTAATATATGTTGAATAAAAATTGTATTTTTTGGGGAATGCAGTCAAAAACAACTATTCTTAGAAATGACTTGTATTAACAGTTCCTCAAACTGCATAAACTTTCGAGAAAAAAATTTGATTAATATCATTACATTTTTAAAATAAAAAAAATTAAGTAAAATTTTGATTTCCGTTTGTCTCACATGCATCAATTCTCTAAAAGTTTGTCCTTATTTATTTTGAATATAGCGTATTTATAAAAAAATACTAGAATGTCTATTTACTAAGATCTTGTACAAAATAATCACAAAATTTGAGCTGGTTTTCGCAAAGGATTGAGAAGGTATGAATGGTCGAAAATGTATCTTATCTTAGATTAAAATCTTTTCCCATTATTCCTGTTTAAATGGCATTCCTATTATAATGGAAATGATTTAATTATTTGGCCGCTTCGGTTCCAGAATTTATAATGTTGTGTTCTATTGTTATACAACAGTTGTTTACGCATTTAGTGAATAATAATGTGACCTTTTCCATTCGAATCCGAGATAACACGCTGAGGTTGAAACCTTCCATTTTAGCTCCGAAACGGGTACAATATTTTTAAAAATTGCCAGAAAATAGACTGGCTTATTTTAATGTGCCCAAATAATAACGAATTGAAAGGCAAAAGTACCCATAAATTTTAACTTTAATGTCGCAAATCTAAATCTTCAACTATTAGATACTCATTTTTCTTCAGAGAAACAAATTTTTCAGAAATATTTAAAGTTGTTAATGACATAAACAACATTTTAATAAATAAAAGTTTTGCTGTAGCAATTACAGGGCGTGAAAAATCACAGGTGATCATTTTTCTATTGAATTAAAAATTGTTTAAAGTAAAGTAACAATTTTCTACTCACCTCATGCATTAAATTCCAGGCGTAACAAAGGCTGGTGGGCCATAGGGGTTTGTAATGATTGCCAAATGTGTACATGTATATAAACCAAGGAGCAGGAACTAATAACGTGAACATATCGCACAGTGCCATTGCCATTAAAACCACATTCGTAGGAGTACGCATATGCCTTTTACTCAGTACTACCACTATCATTGTGTTGGCAATAATGGTTATTATCAACATGAAAGGCATTACGTATCCGTATAACGGAATAGCGTACTTAATTGGCGTTTCTAAAGTTATATTAATTATATCAAGTGTTGATAAATTCAGGTATGAGCTATTTAGGTCTACTGATAGTCCTGTAGACCACAGTTTTGTCTGGTTAATGGTACTGTCGTCATCCATTGTAGAGTACATCGGATTATCGATTTTTAATGGCAATTCTTTACATTTCTATTTAATTCCTTGAGAAATGTTTCATTTAAAATATCAGTTTCACACATTGTTTCTCTCCAGTGCTTTTTGTGATCTTGATGTTGAATTTTGAAATGTCCC